GCCTGGGTGGCTCAGTCGTTAAGCGTCTGCCTTCGGCTCGGGTCATGGTCCCGGGGTCCTGGGATCGAGCCCCACATCGGGCTCCCTGCTCGGCGGGGAGCCTGCTTCTCCCTCTCCCACTCCCCCTGCTTGTGTTCCTCTCTCGCTGTCTCTCTCATCGAATGAATAAATAAAATCTTTAAAAAAAATAAAATAAAATAAATAAATAAAATAAAAAAAGAGTAGTAATGGGCCTTATTACGTTCTTATCTGGTGTGACGTGTCATGAAATTAACACAGGTCTTAGATTCAGAGAGGGTTGGGTCTGAAGTCAAGCTCTATGCTCAGGGGTTGGGTGACAAGAGTTTGTCTCTGGTTTGCTTCTTCTTCTGTGAAATGAACACATTATTACTATTCTTATGAAAATTAAATGAGACAGGACATGTTGGTGCTACACGGTGCCTGGCACAATAGAGGGATCATAGGAAATGCTACTTCCCAACACTCCTTGTCCTCACAACTCCCTCCATTCCTTTATTCACTCATTCACAAGCATGTCCTGAGCCCTGGAAATACAGAAGAAACAACACTGTCCATTGCGGTTTCAAGAAGGGGATAAAGAGGCAGAGAAAGAGAGATTATAGGATGTGATGACAAATAATGTAAGGGAGTTATAAACCATTCTTGAGGGCACAAAAGAGAATAGAATAAAGCTTTCTTGAAAAGCCTTTAAAAGATCTTAAAAATCAGTGGGCCACTTAATACCCACTAGAATGGCTACAACCAAAAAAAAAAAAAAAATCAACAACACTGATGACAACAACAAGAAAAACAACAGAAAATGACCAATGTTATTTCCACAAGGATGTGGAGAAATATAAAATTCCACAGCTGCCATGGAAAACAGTTTAGGGGCTTCTCAAAAAATGTAATATAGACTTAAGACCCAGCAATTTCACTCCTATGTATACCCCCCAAAGAACTGAAAGCAGATATTCAAACAGATGATAGTACATGAAAGTTCATAGCAGCACCATTCACAATCACCAAAACGTGGAAACAACCCAAGTGGAAAAATAAAAGGTGGTATATCCACATAATGGAGTACTATTCGGCCATAGTAAGGAATGAAGGAATGAAGTACTGATGAATGCTACAACATGTATGAACTTTGAAACATTACGTTAAGTGAAAGAAGCCAGTTAAACAAGACCATGCATGCATTATGTGATTCCATTTGTATAAAATGTCTGCAGTAGGCAAATCTCTGAAAACAGAAAGATTAGTGGTTGATTAGGGCTGAGGGAGATGGGGGGAGTGGTGAGAACTAAAGGGTATAATGTTTCTCTTTGTGGAGACAAAAATATTCTAAAATTGACTCTGGGGGCGCCTGGGTGGCTCAGTCAGTTAAGCGTCTACCTTCCATTCAGGTCATGATCCCGGAGTCCCTGGATCGAATCCCACGCCGGGCTCCCTGCTCAGCAGGGCGTCAGCTTCTCCCTCTCCCTCTGCCCCTCCACCCTGCTCGTGCTCTCTCTCACTCTCAAATAAATAAATAAAATCTTAAAAATAAAAAATAAAATAAAATTGACTCTGATGGTTTCACGTATCCATGACTATACTAAAAACCACTGAATTGTAGGCTTAAAATGGGTCCATTAGAAGGCTTAAAATGGGTCAACTATCTCAATCTGTTTTAAAGAGAGAGAGAAAGAAGCTAAAAATAAAAATGTTAAAACACACACACACACACACACACACACACACACACAATGTCCTAGGAGTTTGGCCAGACTTCTGCTGGATCCAGTATTGATAGTGACTGTTGGTGACCGTTCCAGGGCTGGAGCTGAAAACAAACTAAGAGTGTGCCAGGCACAGAAGGTAAAAATGGAACCACATGTCCAAAGCCCAAGACAGGGAATGGTGTTAGCATCTTCTGCAACACTAAGAGGTTGAGTGGGAGCGGGACATGGGAAAAGGGGCCAGAGAACAAGGAGAGATGGAGATCGCTATGGACTTGGAAGAGTTGCACACAGCAGTGCACTGGGCACGTGTGCAGGCAAGTTTGTGATCTTTCTTAAGCATCCATTTCCTGTAAAATGGTAACAAACATAATGCTCACCTCACAAGATACTTTGAGGATTTAATGAAATAGGTAAAGGATGTAGCCAGAGCCTGGCAAATAGTATGAAGTCAGTAAGTATTAGCTCCTTGAATCTGTGGGAAACCAAGAGTTTAAAATGAGAAATGTCCAGTTATCAACAAAATGTTATATTAGATGATAAAGGTTTCAAGCTTTTTGAACTTCTGAGTAATTTATACACATTACCACTAATTTAACTTCCTCTGATCCATCAAGAAATACACATGGTTTTTTAAAAACCTCTAAAGAATTATGGTGAATGTCTCCTAGACTAATGATAGTGATCCGGCCTCAGTAGCTCAAGCTTAGCCATAAAAATAACAAGTTCTTTTACGATGATGATATTCTAATTAAATATCCCAAACTTTATTCCAGGTATACACAATCCAATATTGGCAGAGCTAATTCAACCAAGAACATTCTAGCCAGTAAATAATAAATTCTCAGAAGCCAAAATTTCCATTTACACCTGTAAATAGAAAATTCAATTTAATGCAAATTGTTAAATAATAAGACCAGTGGGCAATGAACCATACTAAACACATCATATGAAATGGATCAGTCATGCAGCATGGTGACCAGGAAAGAAATTTGTGACACATTCTGTAACTAAATGCTATGTGTTTACACACACATGCACACACATACACATGCACCAAACAAGAAGCTACCACAGAGACACAGCACACATATGAAAAATGTACAAATTCTGATTGAGTGGCTGGTTCCTTTCCTCTGTATTTAAAATCTTTTGGTCACCTTCCATGGGATCATCTAACCATGAAGAATGCTATTTTATACAATGCTTGGCAAAGCAGTTGTTAGGAAGAGGAATCCTGTAAACGGTTTCATTGAATCTAAAAATTATTAAGAAGTGGATTCAGGCATGCTCTTTATTAAAACCTCCTCCATGAGAAAGTTCAGAAGTCACCATCCACAAATTTAAAAAGTAGAAAAATACTTACAGAATCCCTCCAGTTGTGAGGCACATAAGATTAAAGTCATTCAATGTAGATAATTTTTTCCTACCATAACCTGGACAATAAGATATAGCTTGGGCTTCAGAGATTTTGGAGGTTGTTCAAGGTGCTAGATTTAGGATGTATCTTACAGCGTGTCTAGAGAGCAAGGGACTCGGGGGAGAAAAGTTTGGAAGAAAATAGGTTTGATTTTTAAACATTTTCCAGCTCGCTCTCTCTCTTTAAATAAAACATCATGCATCTGAGCTTAGAAACAACTTAAAAGAAAAAAATCACATGGATCATCTTTCACCCTAGTCACCAAGGCGCTGACACCTTAACATAGGTTGTTGTTATAACAAGAGAGTAAAATCCTTAATGCTGATGTAACACTTTGCTTTTTGAGTTCCCAGAGTCTGAAGAGTATGCAGACAAAAAGCCAAGCAAATCTTAGTGGCAGATTTTTTTTTTCCGTATGTGTTTGTGAAGTACCTGTCTGTCGGTAGCTGAGGGATTTCATAGGAAGTGGGACTTTCAGGCTAAAAGTAAGAAATGCCAGTGTGAGCCTGGACAAGTTGGTCACCCTAAGTGTTTGTCAATAAAAGACTAAAACTGACATATAATCATATGATTTGATGTGACACGCACATCAAATCAACACACATATATTGAAATAATTTTAAAATAATGGCATTCAAAAATGAAAATGCAAAATATTCGGCTAATGAACACTTAGTTATTTCTGCTTCAATGAGCTCCCATCAAATCTTCAAGGAAATTTTCAGGTGTATTTTCCAATCAGAAGGACCCAGGGTCAACCTAAGAATTCACCCCAAGTCCCCTGGTCCCCAGTAATCTGGAAAATTTTGAAAAAAGGGTTTTAATGTAAAATCATTTCTATATTGATTCAGAGAATTGATTCTATTTTTTAAATAATTCAACTCAAATTCATGTTAGCCTGAAATATTAATATAATTAAGGAAGTAAAATGTTATCTGGAATATGGCTTTAACCCAACCAAAATAAAACATCAGATCCTTTTCTTTATTATATCACTTGAGCTTAGCATTTTCTTCTGCTAAGAAATTTTTAATGAAACTAATACAGTGCAAGAAACTTTTTATGTTTACCCACCTTAATCACTCCCCACTTACATCTTCACATCTTTAAGAAAGATGAAAACATAGATTAGCAAAATAACAGTTATTTCTTTCTAAATTTATTATAGGTGTATTTGATTTCCTCCAAATTTCCAATGGTATCTGCTATATTTTGTTATTGAAATACTTCATGTGATTAATTAGAAGTAGTGATAATGTAGGACTACTTCATCCAAAGATCTACCAGCATATGGAAAACACTAAAAATTACCAAATAAGTCCATTGAGTGAAACATAAAGTAAAAATGAGTTAGGAGACAGCTGGACATGTTTATGTAGGCAAAGGGGTTGGAAGATATGCTGACAACACAGAGAGGTGTGTTGCAATAAACTTGAAGGAGACAGGCCATTGGGCCAACCATCCCTTTTCTATCCAGGAATTCCTTATGTTCTCATTAGTGTCTCACATCTGGACAGCCGCATTATTAAAATCTGGCCCTAAACTTGAGTCAATGAAAGAGTTTGGTGTCTCAATTTCATTCTTCCTTTACATATTAAACACACACACACAGGTTTCCACTTTTGTTCACGGAAGCATTTCATGTCCAGATGTCAGATTTTTGTGACTCATGGCCAAGCAGAGAGAAGGGCTCTGTGAACAAGCTTGTTCTGATCATGTTCACCTCTGTCTGATACAAGTACATATTTATGGCACCTCACTTTCATAAATACAACATTCTAAGCAGTTCTTTGAATGACCACCTTCAGTACTGAGTTAGGCCTCAAGCTTCCATAGCTCAGTTTCTTGGGAAGAAAAAAAAAATGTTTTAAGGGTTAGAGAAAAAAGGCATTTCTCTTCATTCCTTTATCTTTCCTCATCTTTCAAAATATGTGGTTAGGAAAGATTTTGTACAGGATTGGTTAGAAGCCAAGAGTTTCACTGACCCTGTTAGTCATTGCCATTTCACATTTCTTGCCTCAGGAACTAGCTGAGCTTTTGAACGCATTCACATTTTTATATGATGTGAGCATAACCTGCATCTGAATATAAATACCAAACACCTGCATTGGTACTTCACAAGCAACACACACTTGGATCTCCACTGTCGCATTTGCTCTCAGTCGTGGTCCCAATAGGTTGGTGCTATTATCTTATGTTTTTAGATGTAGAAGCTAAGGCCCAACAGCAGTAAGGGACTTGGCCAAAATCACTTGTCGAGTTAAATCCTGTGCTATGTAGCTCCACCTTATATATATATATATATATACACACACACACACACACACACACACACGCCTGGGAACATAGACATAAGGGTGGAGTTACATTCAAACAGAAAACAAAGTCCCATCTTTAATGTGATTTTTTAAAAAAATAAAGAGCAAAACACAAACAAATTATAAGCTTATATCTATTGGGCTCACTTCTAAAGACCTAATCCACTACATAGGAACAACATATGTGGATATGCTATTTAGTTCTCACAAGTCAAGAGGAAAAATGCCTAAGAAAACAAAACTCATGCATTCACTAATTAAAGGCTTCTTTATAGTTTTGTTATCATTTTTTGTTGTTCTAGGTAAAAAAAAAAAAGGTATTGCCATTAGAATCAATAAATAAACCAAAATATTGAAGTTGTTTGTTTATATTTGTTTAAATTTTAAGCATCATACCTTTCACAGCAAAAACCCAAGCACTACCTATATTCTAATGAACTGACACTAAAAATAATATCATTCCAACGAAAGCCAAATCCACACTCAAAAGCTATGAACTGTTCTTGGTGTACACAGAGGCTTTATTCGATATTTGGGCATCACAGAGAGTATTGGAATACAAAGAGATGCGAGAGAAAGGAGCTGTGGTGGCCAGAAGAGGACACTGAGGAAAGAGACACTGAGCCTGCCATCTAGGGAGGACCAACACACCCTAAAGCCACGGAAGGAGCAGCCCCCCGCAACACCCAATCCCTTCTGATTATTCATTGTACCTGCTTTGGTGCCCATTTCATACTTTGGTTCTCTCCTGGAATAAGCGCCCCGACCCGAACCCCAGTTTGAGGCTCCTCCCCTGATAATCTGTCTAGTCCTTGCCAGGATCCTCCTCTCAGTAGCTAGAGCCTATCCGAGCGTGAGACCCAGCAGCTGACTGGGGTCCTATTTCCACTGAAACAGAACCCCCAGAAAGTCAGAGCTACTGCCTCATACTTGGCAAGAACAGCTACCGCCCACCAGAATGAGCCCTGGATATTGAGGTCAGCCTCTCATGAGCTTTGTGCATCAAAGCCCTCTAGCTATTGTCATTGGAACACTGGCCTCCCTCCCTGAAGCTCTGATACTAGGCTTTCTCCTCTCTCCTTCCCAGCCTGCTCTGATGTCCCAACATGCCTTTAGCCCCGCCTGGAAGGGTTATAATATATCACAGGTGATTTAGACTAATTTTGGTGGTGGTTAATGGATTTCAAAGACCTGACCTTTTGTGCATTAGGAAGATCTACTCTTGCCTTCACTTTATTTTGTAGCTATCATTTGGCTGGATGGGCCTGCTGTCTATACTCTCAATAGCATTCATCACTCACCCACCGTCTGTCTTCCTTGCCAGCCTGCAAAGATCAGGTCTGTCTTGATCACTGCTGTAGCCTTATTCTGAGCATGGAGCCTAACACATAGTAGGCAATTGGTAAGCATTTGCTGAATGAATAACTATGTGATACATGTGTGTAACTGTCAAGCAATTCATTAGGAAATGAAGTGCCCATCCCATATTTGAATTTACTAATTGGCCCATAATCCTGATGCATTAGTCAACACATTTTAACTTTAACAATTTACACGTAAGGACATACTTTGTAAAACTGTTTAACCAATTTCTAGGGGTAGGTAGGAGGAAGATTATAAATATCTTTGCATTCAGTCATTGCATCATAGTCTATGCAGAATTTATTTTGTATTACTGGCCTCTCAAGAGTGACTCAAAGCACAAATAAATAATACATTTTTATCTACCATCCTAACTTATGTGAAATTTTTCTCCCCTCAGAAGAGTATCTGCCAAATTTGCTTTACAAAATTCTAAGTAAACAGAAGTAAAAGACAGCCTCTTGCTGGAAGTAGCATTTTCCTTCAGCAACAGAACTATAATAAATACACCTTTTCTTGGGCTTCACATTTATCAGGGAAAAAAACTGTAGAACATTACAGGTAAGCTATATTGAGATGGTCTCATTATGTTTACTTAAAACTAAGTATTTTATGACTTTATAATGAAAGCAAGAAATTATTTTTTAAATGTTCAGGCTCAATATGATCCCTGCTGTCCCTACTCTCCCATCTCAAATAAACCAAAATAATTTTCCAATTTTGCTCCCAAACTACTCTCTTGAACAACTCTGTTTCTTATTTGGTGTCTTTATGTACTGGAGACAAGTAACAAACAGTTATGGAAGAGAAGAGAAAAAATTTCTTCAGGTTGCTCTCCTAAAACCAAGGCTCCCTTTCTAATATGTACACATAAATGTACATGGGTGTATCAGGACTAATCTGAGTCACAGGACAGAGTTCAGTTTGACTTTGACGGTGGCCCCCTGTGACTCTGAGCCAGTCCTTTCAACACCCTATTTCTTCATCTGTCACAGAAGAATACTAAAGTTTGCTCTTTGCCAGTTTCACAAAGATGCTTCCATTTCTGAAACATACTTGGGACTTCCAAAATGGGTTTGATTATTTTGTCTTACTCCATCAAAATCTTAATTTCCTGCTTTTCCAAATTGGGCATAATAATATCTGCCAACCTTGAAAGTTTATTGTAAGGATCAAGTGAAGATAATACATATGTAAGAGCTTTGAAATTTGAAAATGTTTTACATGTGAAAGTTATTTTTATTTGAATACTTTTGCAAATGCATGTCTAAACTAAATATAAGTTATTCAAAACTACAATGAGACCTTTCCAACTTTTCGGTCCCCTATTAATATGAAGTGCAGGAACGCTAGAGTGCTCCTGCAGCTAAATGCATTATCTCTAGAACATGCATGTGCCTGGAGTTCTTTGTCCAGTGGTGGAAAACTTGTACCATGATATTCACATTACTTCAAAATGTATTTTTAAGTGTCCACCGTGTGCCAGATACTAACTAGGAGTTGAGGCTATGTCTTAGCTCGGGCTGCTCCGACAAAATACCATAGACCGGGTGGCTTAAACAATAGACATTTAGTTCTTACAGTTCTGAAAGCTGGGAATTCTAGGATCAAGGTGTCAGGGGATTCACTTCCTGGCAAGAACTGGCTTCCTAGCTTATGGATGGCCACCTCTTGCTGGGGGCTCATATGCCCTTTCCTTGGTGCATGTGCATGAGGAGAGCAAGTTCTCTGTGTTCTTCTGCTTACAAGGGCACTAATCCCACTGTGGGCACCCTGCCCTCACGACCTCATCTCAACCTAATTACCTCCCAAATGCCCTACCTCCACATACCATCACATTGGGAATTAGGCCTTCAAAAAATGAATTCTGGGAGAGACAACATTCAGCCCATAATAGGGTATAAAGATGAAAATGGCAGTGTCCCTGGCCTCATGGAAAACTTACTGTGGTTGAAAGAAGACATATAAAGGAAGGACAGCAGTGCAGAGTGCCAAGTGCCATGAGGACACAGAGGAGCCAGCCTCAGGCTTCCGGGAGGAGATGACATGTGAACTGAGTCAAAGAATGAACACAGAAGTCAGCCAAATGAAGGGATAGGAGAGAATATTCCCAGTAAATAGCATAGGCAACTTCCCTAACATTGGGAATGAAATGGTTTGTTTAGGGGGAAATACAAACAATAGTACAAAAGCATAATATGCCATCTGAGGATTGGCAGGAGAGGAGAGTGAAGAAGAGAACATGTTCGACCTCAGAGGGCTTCGTGTCTTTGGCTAAAGACCCGTGGCTTATGGCACTGGCACTAAGCTTCTCACACTGCAGGATTCACACCTGGGGAACAGGCAGGATTAACTTGGCCCACCTACCTGGAGTCTCAACTTTACCCAAAACTGTGGAAGAGGAGCAAAGTTTAAATTGCTAAATATAAGTATTAATTAATAAGTATGATATGAAAATAGCCATCCTCAGGGTTCCATCTTTGGGGTTAGGTGAGTTTGAGAAGCACCACAGTGACGTCATGGGGAACTGTTGATGGCTTTTAGGCTCCGCGGTGCCACAGTCAGATATATGTTTCAGATCACTCACTCACTCTGGTGATGGTGTGGAGAATGGACAAGAGGGAAGAAAGATGGGAAAGAGGAAAGCCAGCTGGGAGGTGGGCATAGCCTTCCAGGAAAGAGATGATGAGTACCTGAGATAGGGCAGGGATGTCAGTGTGGAGGATGTGGGGAATGTGAGCACATTTGAGGAACCTGTGGAGGTAAGAGCATTAGCATTTGCTGGGTGATGAAGTATGGATTTTTTTTAAAAAGAGAGGAGTCAAAAGTCACCTCAGAATTTGGGCTTGGAAGACTGGATGGACAGTTGTGCCCTTCAGGAAGAACGTGAAAAGTTAGAAGATATGACTTCAACTCTGACCATGTATAATTCTACATACCCATGAAAATCCAGGTGAAGATGCTCAGAATTCATCCTGATAGTCTTCTCTGATTCTTCTGTGAAAAACCACAAGCGTTTGCAAGGTGGTCAGAATTAGTGGGGCATTTGGCTTTATCTCCTTCCCCACTTCCGGTGGCCATCTCTAGAATTCCTGTGTGACCTAGGCTCAGCTCCTTCACTGTTTTCTCTGATGCTTGTCAACACCTACAACAGAGTAGTGACTGCCTGAGTGTGGTATTCTTAGAGAAGCACCAACCCAGTTCTGTAGAGTTCCTTGGTTTTCTAACCTTTTCAGTAACACACCATGTGTCACTGACATGATGACTACTTGTAAATAAGTAACCCAGAAGAAAATCCATTATCATATCCTCCACCAATCCCTTAGCCTCCTGTGTCCCTATTTCTGAACTTTATTTCACCTCCCAAAACTTTCATTTCCAATCCAGATCCTGGCTTCCCAATTATAATAAAACAAATACTGATCTCAGGTGGGGAATTAAGCATCAGAAACAGATGAACTCATAAGACAAAAATCTTACGTCTCTGTCCTCCTGTTTTCATGCAAATGTCCCCAGTAATTAAATCAAGAAAAGAAAATGTAGCAAAAACATATCAGCCAAATGGTTTCAAAATTTCAAAAGAAGCTGTAAATATGGTCCTTTTTAGAAGATCAGGTTCTAACTAGAGTATGAGAAAGGGTAACAGTTGTTCTGATGAAGCAGTTTTTAAATTCTTGTCAGTGATTTAGAGATAACTGATGTATGTTGAAGAAGCTGGCAAGATTTTTAAATAGTTCGGACGCTACAGGGAGCATTTTTTTTTTCTTAAAGCAATGTACTCAGAAGTGTTGGCAAGATTTTATTTGAACGTAGCAGTGCTTATGTGAGGAAGTTATTTTGAATTACCCTAGTATAAATATGTATGACTTTATTTGTATTGAAAATTTCCTTTGCAAGTGAGTGACTGAGGGACTGTTATATCTCTATTGCTTGGTAAATGATTTTGGTATTTCATTTTGGAAATAAAATCTTATACTCAGAATTCAAAAATAATATCAGAATCCTGTTTATGACCACAGGTGATTTTTGCACCCACATTAATCCTTTTGACTCTTATTTGGCATGTGGAATAAATGGCATCTGTTGTCTTACGCCTGGCTTCTTTTCTACAGTATTCATACATGCACGCATTCATTCATTCAACAGATATTCTTCTGCACCTCTTGGCCACCGAGCTCCATGCTAGGCATGGAACATACAGCAATGGTATTGAACTGGCCTTCCTTACAATATTTCAGGTCAACGTTCTGTTTCCTCCGGGCAGGTTTTTGCAATATAGTGGAAATTTCTAATTTTCCCATTATAGCTTACTATTTAAAAGCTAAGCCTGTTGAAGGCTGTGGACCAGGCTATCTTTGAAAGGTCGTTTTTCCTCGGAACGGAGAGCACCAACAGAAAAGTAAGGAGAGGTGAAGGCCCTGAGAAATAGGACCCAAAGCAGAGGGAAGAAGAGAGAGGGAAGTGTACTGGAGAAAGAAAGCATTGTAAATAAGGCTCACACTTTTCACCTCAAGACCTTTGAGCAACCAGTTACCAGTTCTCCATGAAAATGAAACTCCTGGCAGGAGAATCATCTAGCCCATTGGCTGTTGGAGCCTGCTCATTTACTTAAAGGAGAAACAAAACACAACTCCTCATCTTCTCTGTTTTCTTTCTTTAGCTATTGTGTGGTGTTAGCAGGTGAGGAGATCATTTATCCTAAACTGCAACTTCACACTTGGTCTTTGTAAGCAAACCATACTTGTACTAGTCCTGTCCATTTCCTCCCTATGCTTTCTTTCCTTTTTCAGGAATAAACCTCTTATTAAATTTTAATATATTTATGTAAAAATCAACCATGAAAAGACTCATCAGAGTCATTGAAAGAGAAAGACAAATATATACACATAATTCTGCATATGTTCCTTCATTTATTTTAGGCCATATGTAAAACTGATACAGAGGAAGAGGAATAAGACAGTTTGTGCTAAATAATGTAACTGGGTACATAACTTGATAAAAAGGAGGTGTGTGGGTCTAAGTGTCCATGGTTCCTGCCTGCTACCCTCATCTATCCTCAGCCTTATCTCAAGCCACTACAAGTGTAAATGGGAGATCACTTTACTTCCCTTTAAAGCTTCTTAATGAATGGCAGATTCCACCAAAAAACAACAAATATTTACTATATAATAGGTACTGTTCTAGGGGATTGGGAAAGATACATCAATGATAGGTCACCTTCCTTTGTCAAATAAATTACTATTTAGAGATCCTAAATGAAGCAATGATTAAAAATTTCCAAGTGATGGTACTTTGCTTCAGTATCATAAAACACGTTACTTTGCCCCAAATTCAAAGTTCAAAGTGATTTCAAATGCAAGCATACTTCACCCAATCCTGAATATTTCCCTCAGCCACACAAGACCCCTCCCTAGTAGAAGCAGAACTCAGTAGAAATCGTCTTTACCTAGGGACCATGGCAAACTATTGTAAATAATTTTTCAATATCCTATATAAATTCTAGACGATGGTAGGTAATACTATACTTCAGGATCATGCTGATTTCTCTAAACTGAAATTCCAAATATTTACTAGATAGACAAATTAAGCTTTAAAAGAATGAGGTTTTAATTTTTCCTTCTTGTTTTGAAAGGCCAAGATTTTTTGTGAACATTCAGTTTTGTTCTGTCCCTTTTGTCTCAAAGGGTCTAGCCATATGCCAAGAACAATAGGTAAGTCAGCTGTCCTCAACCCAGAAAATTTACCCACAGGAGCCATACTTACAGTTCCACAATGGCCAAGGAAAAGCCTAATAGGAATAGATTGTGTGTGTGTGTGTGTGTGTGTGTGTGTGTGTGTGTGTAGCAAAGTTAGTTCCAGAGAGAGAGAAAGAAGCTTGGTTTGCACTGTAGTAGAACCACTGGAACAATATGCTCCCTGTGTCCACAGCCCAGTCGTCCCCTGACACCCTCCTTTCTAGGGCATAGGGTAGAAAAGTCACATACACAGTAGATCATGCCAGCGCCTGCTGACCCAACCCCACTCCCAAAGTTGCAGGCAGGAGAGTGAAGCAATGTCTGTGCTATATACATAGTCTTACTTTTTTATTTTTCTTTTTTTAAGTAGATGTTTCAGCACTCAACTTGAGGGACAGGAAGAAGATACCGCAGGCCAACTTTCTCAGTGCTATTCTATCCCTTCTACCCCCTCCACAATTCCTTCAATGCTCTAAAGTCTGGGTAAGAGTAGGTAAAGAGCTTTGGACAGTGTTAAGACCGTCTTCATTTTACCTTGAGCAAATAGGGTCTTTGACACTTTCTGACCATGCTGAGCTGGCTACAAGACTGCTTCCTCCCTTGCCAGGTCACGTAGGGAGAACGATGTGGGAAAATACCTTTTCCTTCCAATTATAAAAGGACATGTGAAATATACAATCTTAGAAGCTAGTATCATGATGTTTGTTATCATGAACCCCCACCACCTTTTCTACTACAAATTGAAAAATTCCATGTTATTTTTCTTTTTTTTTTAAGATTTTATTTATTTCTTTATAGAGAAAGAGTGCAGGTGAGCAGCGGGGAGGGACGGAAGGAGAAGGAGAGAGAGAATCCCAATCAGACTCCAGGCCTAGCGTGGAGCCTGATGTGGAGCTCAATTCCATGACCCCAAGATCATGACCTGAGTGGAAATCAACAGTCAGACACTTAACTGACTGAGCTACCCAGGCACCCCTCCATGTTATTTTTCTAACTTTGCTATCAGTAAACATTAATGTCTGTATAAGAAAGAACCAGTTAAATAATTTTTAGTAGAATCATAAAATAAATAACTATAAAATAATTAAAATAGTATAATTAATAACTAAAACTCATGCTACATCTACTCTACTTTTTTATAATTTAACTTCATATACTTTTCAGGTAATTCATGAGAAGGAATTCCTATTTATTGATATGCGTATCCTGTATCAGACATTTTACATATATTGTTATATTTTTTCACCACAATCAGCTAAAACCTAAGTATTCTTTTGCTTTTTTTTTTAAGTAATCTCTATGCCCAACGTGGGGTTCAAACTCACAACCCCAAAATCAAGGGTCACGTGTTCTATCTACAAGTCAGCCAGGTGCCCTTCTCTTGCTCATTTTTAAAATGAGATTCATAGGGGTTTAATATCTTGTCCTCAATACACAATTAGTACACACAAAGCAGGGAATCAAATCCAATTCATCTAATTCCAAAATCTGTATCTTTGCCATTATAATATGCTATCATTGAGGAGAATATAAAGAATCTAGGGTCAAATACACTGATGTCTAGTTTGCAGTCAACAAGCAATAAAAGAATTGTATAAGAAATAAAAACTATTTCCAGATATGCCTGTATCATGATCTTCATCACTAACTTGTCCTGTGCTTGGGCCCAACACTGGAGCCAGGGTAAGCTAGGAGGAACCTACACATGGGAGCCTTTCCTGAGTTGGAGGTCCTGGAAAGAAGACTGAACTGACCTGTGAAGCCACAGGCAACAAAGTTAGAGAAAGCATTCGACCTGAGCACTTGACTTGAGTCAACGTTGTAACTAGAGAAATGACCCTAAGTATTAGGTCCAAAAGGCATAAGCCATACATGGAAAAACAAGTACTAACCCAAACATCCAGGAAGACTGGCAGTGGATCATGATAGAGTGTGCAGAGTGGGTGGGCACAAGTTGTTCAGAAAGATATCTGCGAAAGATGAGATGATTGTGGATAGCCCATGTGCATGGTGTTGGCCATGAAGGCGGCCCTGACAGATTCAAAGGCCCACACAGAACCAGACACTTGAATTCTAGAGAAAGTCATCAATTCTTTCTAGGTCACATCTAAACGTGCCAGGCCTAGAGAACCAGTTTTTTGTTGCTGTTGTTTTCTTAGCTACTATTATTGCATAGTTGTGATTATCATGGAGAAGAACATTTTTGAGAGGAAGGTTTTATATTTAACCACCTGAAAAACTCTGACAACCAAAAATCACCCCCAGAATGGTGCAAAATTAGAACTGAACAGAGTACAAAGTTTATAATTTTGACCTTTTAACAAAATGAGGACTATTAAAGAAGACCACAAATTGGTATGAAGTTATTTCTAGGTCACCAGACAATCTGTAGGTATAAACAATTGCTGGTCCCATTTCCCTTTAAAAAGGGAAAAAGAAAAAGGTACAAGGCACTCTGAGCCCCTAAGCTGATGTCCAAATGGCCCTTTTGGTGGTTTTGACCTACAAGGAGTATGGAATGAATCCTCTGAGAAAGGAAACAATTAAGGGACACTTGGAGTGCTTTGAGTAGTCAAAGAAAACAACAACAACAAAAAACCATCAGTATTGGGATTAAAAATCGCAATCGTTTTTTCCCCTTAGCATTTGCACCGATTCTTCAGCTTTTGCATCAAAAAGAAAATCTGGCCTCGTGGATGTTTAAGAGACTAGGGATTTCATTTTCCATTTAATAAACTGATTTTCTCCCCCACTATAGGTACTTGGAATTAGCACAAACCCCAGGATAACAACAATTCCAAAAGGGAATGTTCAGTTCATTATGAATGGTCTTACAGCAAATAATGCTCTGACAGCCAAATTCCTGGTCTCCAAATTTGTAAATTTGCCTTTTTTCCCCTCACAATTCTTACTCAAGACCGCTTCTGAGCTTTTGCACATTTAACCCTTACACTCAAAGACAGTATGTTACTAAAAAACATGAGAAACTTCAAGTTTATACACTTGGATTAAAAGAAGTCTGATATTTATAACCAAATTATGACCATCTTAAATACAATAAATTAACTGCTGAACTAACATAATAAAGAAATACTGTATTTATTCTCACATCTATGGCTATGCATCCCTTGAACAGGTCTAAAGAATCATAAACCAGCCATAAATCTTATGATGTTTTCCATTTTATTTCTTCACTTAATGACACAGCATTCATTTCTCAATAGAAAAATTATGAATGATACTAAAAGTTAGTTTTTAGTAGTCAAAATTAATTTATACTGTCTTTAATTGATCTGTATGTTCCATGTTATTTTTTCAACTTTTCATTATAACAATAAAGCTACATTATAATGATGTTTCATGTATTACTTCATTTAATTCCCAATAAAAACCCTAAGGAATGAACACTATTAGCGTACCCACGTTGTTGATAAGGAAACACATTTAAAGTAAGTTGCCTGTAATCATACAGGTAGTAATCTGCACTGCTAGTATCAGAAATAAATACCTCAGACTTCGACTGACACAGGGGCATAAAAATTCCAGGGATATATTTGCGTGATCATTTTTAAATAACTTTAAATCAGCCTATATATTAATAAGTAAAAAAATGTAAAATTACCTTAAGTACCATGTCTTAATTATTTGTCCATTGTCTCAATGTTCCACTTTTTGACCTGTATAAGTAGACATAACCAAAAAGTTCAATGATCAAATTCCAATAAGAAAAATACGGTGCATAATTAGTGCGTATCTCTGCATTTGGGGAGAAGAGTGAATGGACTTTACACAGGATATTGTTTTTCCTAAGTAACTGTAGTTTTGTCACATATTTGTCTGTGATTACTACATAAATGGTTTACAAATTGTTAAGAAGTTTTAGGGCTATCTAGAAAGAATAATAGAACTCAATAAACTTACACAAATGTTAAAGAGAAATTTTACATTAAAATGTTACTTTGTTACTTTGTCCTAAGAGAATGATTTAAAAAAAAAACAGTTAAAATTAAGCATTAGATATGCAAATATGTGTTCAGATCAGAGATACCAAAATTATTCAAATGATTAATTATTCATCATAAAATGTCAATTAATAATTATGAAGCATAAAAGGCATCTTTCTAGTGCATCTTTATTTTTCTTGGCCTACAAAGCAGCTTAATATACATGTTCAATTGACTTCTAACAAGTTCTAAAAATGCAACAAAGTAAACAAATTGTAAACAAGTGCAAACTCTGAATTTTAATAAGTGAACACAAATGTGCTCAAAATGAATGAAAAACAAAAAAAATAAGGAAAACAAAAAACATAGCCATATTCATGACATTTGAAGCCCCATGTTCATTCACCTGCTAGGTAATGGGGCAACCTGGCCAAGAAACCAACCCAATGACTCAAGTTGTGAATTTGTTTAGCAAGTACAAAATAAACATGTTTCTCTCTGAAGTGATCAATCTTTGTGGTGAGGAGGATGCTTTGGGAATTTACGACGCTTTCTGAATAAACATTAAAAGATAAAGCACAGTTTCAGTTTCTTTAAATTACTTATCATAATTTCTAAAGTCTGTTAAGTACTGCTAAAGTATCGCTGTAAATGAGAATTTTTTCCACATTGCTTTAATTATAAATCATTTCTCTATATCAAGTATTATTTTTTTTCCAGGAAGATTATATCTTTAAAAAAAAATCAGTTTGAGCTGATATGATTGAGAATAAGAAGCCATTTGATTACTAAGATATTGATTAATATTTATGATTACGATTTACTTTTCGCTGACACCTGGTGAACTTGCTCTCTGATGACCCAGGGAGTTATTTTAGTTAAGGCGTCCCTGACCTCCTGCTGGTAGATTAATTACATATTAAACACTGTGTTTTCAAAACTAAATGATAAATCTGGACACCTAAAGGAGACACAAAAGAATCAGAGCGGGAGCGAGAAAGAGAGAGGATGCTAAGAAACAAAACAAGAGATTGCAAAGGAAGATAATCAGATAAAAAGAAAGGAGAATGTAGGAAATGCAATTGGGAAAGAATTTCAAGAAAATAAGGATAAAGGGCAGGGAGGGCTGACAGGAGGGCAAGAGGGAGGGAGGAAAGAAAGGCTTTGGGATTTTTAATTCCCTGGCGAGGCTGCTGGCGTCCGCGCCCTTAACGCCACAGCCTTCCAAGTTGAGGCGAAAGCCACCTCCTCGGGCCTGCGTCGCATCCAACTTACTCCAAGTTTTCTGGTGACTCCTACAGGGCCCCTTTCCGTCCCCGCCCCCCCCCTCCCTTGGAGAGATTGACAGTCGCGTGGAGGAGGCTTTTCCAGGCACAGCCTTTCTCATGGTAATCAGCCCCCAGCATCACCTCCCGGCTGCGGCCGCTCCGGCTCCTCGCGCAGCTCGCGGACCCCGGGGACCGGAAACAGGGCGGCGGGCGGGGAGCCGGCTAGCTAGCGACCCAGGTCAGCTGACCCGGCGGCGGGGTGGGGGTCGCGGGGTTCCCGGGCGGTACAGGTCTGGGTAGGGCGGGCGGGCGGAGACGGACAACCCCCCCCCCCCACGTGCTCCTCCGCCTGTGCGGCGGGGCCTTACCCTGAGATCGAATGGAGGGATCGAAGCTGGGGGCGTGGGGAACCGAGCGCGCCGAGAATTGGGGGCGACAAGCAGACCTGTTTTGCATCAATAAATTAAGACGCTCATTTGAGTCCTGAAGTTTGCTGGTTCCTGTCAGTGGAGACGTTGGCAAAGCACTGAAGCCCAGATTCAGCCTTAACTTCAAAAAATAAAGGAAAATAAAATAAAAAGAACCCCTCAGCTGGCCGCCCTGCTGGGGCCAGGTGACGTGCGTGATTCCACAGCCCGCGGGCCTCACAGCAGGGATGTTAGGGTCGGTCTGAGGTTCTCTGGTCCTGTTTTGATTTTGTTTAAAAGGGTTTCTCAGAGAGATGCTCCTGATTTTTTTTTTTTTTAAATAGATTTCCCCCTCCTATCCTCGGCTCAACTCCGAATGGATTGGATTGCAAGTTTGCACGTGAGAAAACCGTTTGGCTTGGCTTGGACCCCTGCCGCCCCCCACCCCCTCCACACACACCCCAATCCAGGGGTCTCCCTTATCACCCTTTGCTTGCAACTCTAAAAGAAGTTGCCCACCTCCTGCGTAACAACACAGGGTTGAAATAATTCCTCTAGATGAAAGATCAATTCCGTTTCAAAACGAGAATAGGTTCCTTTTTTTTAATTTTCTCCACATTGTACAAAATAAACAGAATTTTCTATATAAAAAAAAAAATTCATTAGCTGGGCCAAATTCGAATTCCTTCTACAGCCTGTGTGTTCAAGAGCAGAAACATTGTATCTCTTTGGGCTTCTGGGCCGGCAAGCGGAGCTGGGGGCTGGCGCGGGGTGGGGGGTGGGGGGGGCGAACTGCTGTGAAAGTTGGGGAAATTGACCGACTGAGAGGTGAATGGGGGGACAGGCACCAGATCCTGGCTGAAGGAAATTGGAAAACAAAAGTGCATCTTCTTACCCTGCCTGGGTGGAGGGAAGCCTGAGGGAGGCAGTTTATTTTACTCAAAGAAACCCTAAAGAATTTTTTTCTCCCTCCAACGTCGATTGCAATATTATTTCGCATTTACTTGTATCTGTTGTTTTAATCCCCTTCGTCTGCGCTAATCTCGAAATGGATTATTAATGGGAAAGAAAGATCGGGAAGGAGCGATTCATTTGCAGGACTTGTTTTGCTGTGTGAGGAGCCGAAAGCACCAGTCCTCTCTCGACTTTTCCCTGCGCCCTGTGCTCATGCATCCCGCTGATCCCACGATCTCCATTGTCCCCGACCTGGCCTTCGGACTAAGGGAGTGTTCGGAACAAATTTATATTCGGCTTCCTCCGATCTCACCGCCTCTGCGTTGGTGGGAACTCTCGGTCAAATGGGGAGGGGAGTGCCAGGGGCGTGCCAGGCAGGGGCGGGGGGCAACATACGCGCGCGCTCACCCCTCTCAGAGACCCTTCCCTTGCCATCATCCAAACATACACCTTAATGGGACCCTAAAAGATTGCTTTTTTACCTCAAATCAAATACTTGAAAGTCGGAACTCCCAGTCCTAAGTGTTGGGGCTGCCTCCTGCCACTTCAACAATTACTGAGCCCAGAGTAATCAGATGATTAGGTGTTTTTAATGGAAATATTTGAGTCTCTCTCTCTCTCTTTTTTTCCTTAAGCCAGATCCTAAGTAACCTGACACTAATATACATAATAAAGACAAGTGATTTGTTAGCCCTTCCCTGGATCCTTTGACCTGAGGTTTTGCCTGTGAGTGTGTGTGTGAGACTGTAACCATCCAAAGACTACCTGGGCTAATACAGTGAGGTCTTCTTGCAATCATTCCTTGCAATGGGATCCTTCTTCCATGGGAATGGAAGTGGGGAGGCTGAAAAGCAAACTTCTAGAGAAAGCTGGATTCCATTTTTTTTTTAATAAAAAGGAAGGAAAGTGGGAAGAGGAAGAAAAAAAGGACATTAACAATAGAGATAAATAGAGGAGGATTTGATAAGTCATACATATATTTAATATAAATATATACTATTAAAAGTAATGTAAAACATAAAATTAAAAATATGTCTGATCCATATTGGGAATCATTAATTTTCCTTTTTTATAATTAACTTTTAGACTAATGATCTTGAATGCTCCTCTTCTATAGGTAAATTATCTGTAATGGTATAGGGAAGAAGATTAATTTATCTAGTTATTCTCATTGTATTACTCAAGTTGGGAGAGCGGTAAGTCTGTAAACCACGGTGAAAATTTACTTTTTTGCATCTCAAAGTAAGAAGAGGCTGCGGTCATGCTGGATGGCTATTGCCCCCCACCCCGCCCCCAATATACAAAATACAAAGACATGCACCTCTGGGAGTATGGATGTGGCAACCCATGTGGTGGCTTTTCCCTCCTCTGAGTGCAATTGCAAGTGACTCCTACATTCAAAGTCTTGCTTTAGGCACACATTCAAAGCACAATTCAAAGCAGTTTATCTTAATATAAGTAAAAGTCTAGTGTTGGATCAGGGTGTTATCTGTTTCAGATTTCATCAGACTGAAAACAGGGGGCTGTGACACTAACAATATTAAAGCAGAAAAGCTGGCGTGAGGTTGTTTAGTCCTCTTGACACCTCCACCTTTACCTTTGCAAGGAAGTCCAAAGGCTGTGGAACTGGAAGTTTATTTGTGCTCTGAGGTTCTCAAGCACTTTCACTCTTAAAAAAAAAAAAAAAAAAAGTCTCAGTGCTTTAAGAAATTGAGCCTGAACCATTGGAGGCTAAGAAATTTCTTCCTTTTCCGATAAATGCCTGTGCTCAGCATCCTCAAATTTGGCTGTCTTTATTTACTTCTATATTAGTTCCAATTACGTGCAGTGTAAACCAGCTTTTTGATTAACAAAACAGCAGAGCATTGGTTAAGAACACTTAAACTTCAAAAAAAATTCCCCTGGGAAGTGGGCTCTGAATTGGTTAATAATGTGCAGTACTTGCTAAATTGCTGACTTCCAGATGTGGAAAATATCTTTCTTGTTTAGGACCTATGTAACCTGATTGGATTACGACAGAAGCGTCACGTTGGAAGCTTTTGAGTGATTATTTAATTAACCATACAGTAGAAAGCTGTATTCTCCAGGAAATCCCTTCCATATTTACATAACCAATCCCTTCAGAGCAAAGGTGGAGTCTTTTCTTTTTAATTTTACTTTAATTGCAATATCAAAAAAATATATACTCCAAAACTTAGACCCCATGCCGTTTAATATCATGCTCTTCCTTTCCTGCTAAGTTCCTCTATGGCCTTTCTCCTTTTCCTCCTACACACACTCCCTCACTTTGTAGTGAGGTCTCCCTGAATGTAGAGAGATTCAGAGATCAGTCAACCCAGCGCTCTATGTTAATTTACTTAGAGACCCTTTTTTAAAATGCCAAACTACTTTTTAGTATTGGGATCCAATCCAGAAATTCATCATACATACACCCCAACACACACACCCTAAGATGCAGTTCACATGCAGCATTTTTTTTTCTGGCTTTGCCATCTAAAAAGAAAAAAATAAATAAATAAGAAAAAAGGCAAAGAATTTAGTTCCAGAAGACGTGCTGAGAAATCCACACAACTTAATGTTCATCTCAAATCTGGTCATTAGAAATATCTGTATGAGAAGAAGAAGCGATCTGGATTGAGGACCCAGGATCTTTCCCTTTAACTTTCGCCCCTTAGAGTTCTCCAGTTCTGTGAATGGTGTGCACCGTTTTCCGCCCTGTACTCTGTAGGATTTAGTGATGGGGATAATGATGCCAAAGGCTTGAC